TTGGTGGTACAAATTAGTACAAAATAAGTACTAAATATTCCACTAAGTCCGATATGATTCTGCTGATTTGGTCCTGCCAGCTTAAGAGAGGTTTTTAAGTGTTTCATTTGAAATTTACTTTAAATAAAAAATAAGGAAATTTAAATGAACAAAGAGAGAAACAAGTTCACTTAAATACCAGTCTTTTTCACAGTATTGTTCTATTTTCTAATTTTCAAGTGTATGTATGATATTGACTTGGACATGAAAGAATGTCGAGTGTGACTGGACAAAGCTCTCCTGAGATAAAAACTGATGTCGAGTCACGGTCGACATAGGAGTGCAAAGGGTTAAACAAAGTTTGTACGTCACAGAACTTTGAAGTTCTATCGACGTAACATTTGGTAAGTACTTTTCAACGAGCACCGAAATAATCCGATTTCAGAATCGGTAATGTAGCAGTAGGAATAAAAAAAAGATCCAGCAGTTAAAAATAGTAAAATCTACTTGGGCAGCAGTGACCCCCTTTTTCCACGAAGCACATATGTTTCTTCCAGGAGGTGATTCCTTAACCGACATATCAGATATCTTCCATTTCTTTCCACGATATCGACGATCGTGAGATTAACATCGCAAACAGCGGAGCGTGGCGGAGGCGATTATCTTTACAACGATTTCAACGTGACCCGGTTCGGCTGGCTTATTGTGCGTCGCAGGTTGCATGATTCACACTCTGGTTCATCGAGGTGTTCAGATATTTTTCGCGGAGGTCATATTTTTTATCGCCACGCACATCGATTCAGATTTCAAGGAAATTCAGAGTTCAGCTGGTTTTGTTGTCCAAAGAGCTCAAAGCGGCTTTAATTCGGTTCTATTGTCGGCATCGACCGCGCACTTTCGTCGATCGCGTAAATTTCTCGGCCGGGCCACGAATTCGAGAATAGACGTTCAACTCCGGTCTAAATTTGCATGACCTAATGAGGGGCCATTGATCTCCATCGTCGAAAGTAAATTTCCTCGAACCGTTGCTTCGAAACCCGTTACGTGTTTTGGTGTCTGCGTTACTCAATGCACTGATACGTAAATCGAAAACACGAGTAATGGCTCGAACGCTCGCTGGTCGTACCTTTAAACCTGGGAACGTCGTTTCCTCGTTCTAGTTCTCGGAATTGTGAGGAGCGATCGATTGGCGGAAACGGTAAGACACGAAGATTACGACTGTGTATATTTTAAATACATATGGAATGAAATACAGTGATTTACGAAAGTATTTGAACACTTAGTACGAAATACTTTATTAATTATAATAGGTATATTATATAACATTTACTGAAATATTATTAACACTGTAAGGAGGTACGACTCTGCGGATTATATGGCTAAAGTTTCAAATAAATCGAAATATCTAAACAATAGATTTGAATTATTTCTTGTAAACATACGGATTGCTGAAGCCACAAAAGTATTTGAACAGATAATTTTTAAATCTTTAATATTGAGTAGGTCCGCCTTTGGCACGAATAACATCCTGTAAGATCCTGTGGCCCAGATCAGAACTGAGCCACCCCATGTTTCACCGTAGCATATAAGTTCTTTGGTTCCATCTCTGTATTTGCTTGTCTCCAAACAAAATTGCGTCCGTCTGATCCAAAGACGTTAAATTTTGATTCATCTGAAAATATCACTTTATTCCAGAATACATTATTTTTATTAATAAATTCTTTGGCGAACTCCAATCTTTTCTTTTTATTAGTATCACTAATATATGACTTCTTTCTAGGAACCCTGGCATGATATACATTTTCACGTAGCACTCTTCTGCATAATTCTGGACTTTATAACTACTGTTGCAAGTTTTGTAGCGGAAAGCTTTGGATTTTTTTTATTTTGCGGAGCAAAGCTCTTTCTTTCCTTTCGATTAATTTCCTTGGTCGGCCTGACCGGTATTTATTTTGTAATGTTACTTCGGATTTCAATTTTTTAATAATATAATGTATCGTAGATCTACTTATATTTAATAATTTACTTATTTCACCATACGTTTTTCCTTCTTTTCGCCACTCGACAATTAATTTTCTATCACTTTCAGGAATACAGTTGTTTTTGGACACATAATCATTATCGTACTATTTCACAATGGATACTAGACTCAGACTGACAAATATATGTACGATGATGACTAACGACAATCAATGTTTACATTTATTGACCGAAAAACTGAGTTTTTATTAATTCTTGAAACTCATTCTTGTGTGTTCAAATACTTTTGTGGCTTCAGCAATCTCTATGTTTACAAGAAATAAGTCAAATTTATAGTTTACATATTTCAATTTGTTTGAAACTTTACCTATATAATCTACATAATCTATATATCGTACCTCCTTACAGTGTTAATAATATTTCAGTAAATGTTATATAATATACCTATTATAATTAATAAAATATTTCGTACTAAGTGTTCAAATACTTTCGTGAGTCACTGTATGTGTCTTTGAGAATCTAATAACTTGCAAAAATACTGCAAATGTGAATAATATATGAATATTATTTTCTTTCTGATTCCAGACATTACATTAGGTTGGCCAAAAAGTTCGTTCGGTTAGTGGTCATGGTTGTCTCTCTGCAATGCAGATAGTTATTAATCCAGTCACTGGCAACTACGAAATGTCTCGTAGTTCAAATTGATTACAATTACTCAAGGGGTAAGTTTATAACCTTTTGAGTCGCGAATTATTGTCAAAGAAGATCGTAAATTTTTTTTAAATTGAATATCACTTTTTATTATCAAAATAATAACCTAGATTACACATCTGTATTAAATTTTGGCACCCAAAGCAAATCGCTTTAAATTTGTCTCGCGGTGAATGGGTCAACTTGATGAGGACCTTTACAAACGCAGAAACATGAATTTACCCCGAAAGATGGTTAAAGATCATAGAAAAAAAATGAACAATATTATAATTATAAGAATAATCGTTGTTTATTTGTGCATTCAAATCCGACCAAACTTCATGGGCAACCTAATAAAATTATCTTTGATTATAAATTGTAAATAAATTATAAAAATTGTTTCGTGTTTTATTCAATCCATGGCCTAGTTGAATGCTTTGGTATTCAATTGTAAAGAACGTAACGTTTTCAAAGACCAGTTAATTGACCAATCGCGGTATAAATGAGGTACAAATAGTCTTTAGATTTGGTGTTAATAAACTTCCTTTCTCTCTATCATCTCTACTAAAGAAAAGAGACTAGGATAAATTTTGTCTTCCTCGCGCATTTTCAGCGATTAATGACTCGGAGGGTCGCGGAACGGCGTTTCATCATTCTCTATTTTCGTCTTATTTCGGACTGAAGAATTAGCTCCTAGGAGGGTGCCCACCTGGAGTTAAATCCCCTGTATAATTCACGACTGCCGACTCGAGGAGATAGCTGCCGGCGAGCAGCATTAATTGTCGCGAATAACGATGAATAAGAGGGAGACGCCCACTCGGTTCTCTAGGTCAGCAGGGTGATGCTTGGAGCGAAAAAGGCGAGATAAACGGGCCGAGAGAACGACTCGCGTGGGTGGTTTCCGCGCGTGTCGGACGACTTAACGGTCAGGTTCTGCACGAGGAAAGAACTTTCGGCACGCTGCTAATGGATTAGATTCCTCTTTTTCTCTTTTTTCACGGATTATTCCCGCTATCTCACAGATACACGCGCGTCCCTAATGCCGTGTAAACGCGAAGAAATGAAATCCTCATCGTTCAACGAAAAAATAATTTTGTTCTGTTTAAAAAAAATGTCAGGTCTGAAGAGGTGCGTATTAGTGAACACCAAACACGCTTTTCTTGCTATTACAATTTCCTTCGATCGTTACGAGGGCATTCCCTCCGCGCGTTGGAAGAAAGCAGCGCACGTTCGCGCATTTTTAATTGGCCCCCGTCGCTGGTCGCGATTAATTGTTTCAGCGGTCGCATCAGCAGTCTACATCTCGTTCCGTGACAGCGACTTAATTGGCCAGCACCATTAAAATTCTCTCGATGACTAATCTGCCAGCCGCATTCCTTTTCGCAATACGCACAAAGACGAGGACCGAAAACGGTAGCGGAATAATTCTCCGCTCGCGATGCATGCGTTACCAAATCGGTAACCGGGATCTTAGAACTTACTTAGACAAACGAACTTTGATTGGCCCTTAATTTTGGGCTGAATTAATCACAACGTTGATTGGAATTAAGTTGGACCGTAATGTATGCTTGGCGATTGCTTGGATACTTTAACACTCTATGAACCAAATTTTTTTCTTCTGAAAAGGACCTGCGAGGCGTTTACTTTGATATATCAGGTTGATGGTGCTATCAGGATGCTAACCGTCATCGGTATCGTTATTGGTTATCAGAGACGCTTCCTCCTCGAAGCTTCCGACAATTTTTGAGCGAAAGAAGAGCCTGAGTGATTGTTTATTTCAGTCCACGAGCCCCAAGTTAGCGACCTCACGGAACTGTGTCGCGTATGAGCGGATCACGCTCCACAAATCGCAGGAATGACACAACAAACGTGCGCGCGCGCG